GATTTTTGACAGACTGAGCTGAAGCATATAAGGGGAACCTCTTACAGTTGTATCTGAAACATGCCTTGTGTTTAGAATCTGTGTGTTTTTCTAATTTTGGCCTACAGGGAATCACTGATTTCTTTCGAGAAATTAGAGTCTTTAGTTTAGAAATGGTGTTTCCAAATGTTTTTCCACTTGAGATAAGAAGACCAGAATTATTTTACTTCTCATGTAATTATAACTCACGTGTAACTCATGTTTCCAAAGCGTTTTCATGGCCATCACATCTGATTCTTGAAAACAGCCCTGCAGTTAGCTAGGGCAGCTGCTACTAGGGAGAGTCTGTGATTTTATGGAACACCTGTTGTCACTGTACTAGGGTGTGGTAACAGACTCATCCCTGCTCTTTCAGCTTCAAAATCTGTGTGATCCCAGGACCAACAGCATCAGCATCACCTGGGATATTGTTAGAAGTGCAGTCAGAGCGGGGAGAGGGTATAGGTCCGTGGTAGAGCACATACCTAGTATGCCTGAGGTCCTTGGTTCAATCCTCAGTACTTCCACTTTTTAAAAAAAATGAATAAACGTAATTACTCCCCCCCAAAAAGATGATAAAAATAAAAAATAATTAAAAAATAAAATAGTTGGACAAAACGATTTAAAAAAATTAAATTAGAAATGCAGTCAGAAACTCTGGGAGTTGGGCCCAGCAATCTGTGATTTAACAACCCCTATGGAACATAAAATTTGAGACACCCCCCTACCCCCACACATGCTTGTTTGGGTGACTTTATCATAGTTTAGTTCGAAAAAAATGGTTTTTCTTTTTACTTTATTTTTTCCCCTACTTCCATTATTTACAGAGTTTGGGTCTCAGGGCCAGCTTTGGTTTTTTGTTTTTAAGCTGGGGGAGTAGTTTAAACGTAATGATTTAGGAACTGGCAGAACTCATTCTTTCCAAAAGCGCTAAGGAGTTACAAGCAGAGGGGTGCTGGCGTCGGCTGCTGCTGGCTCCTGGGAGCCCCTTGTGTGCACGTCTTCCCAGCTCTTGTGTTTAGTGACATCGTGTTAGTAACTTGAAATTGGCCACGATGGGGGTGATTATACCATGGAAATTGGAGCTATAAACCAGGGCTTTTGTGCCCAGAGGGCTGGTTCTTGAACATTTACCAGCACACCTTGGTTACAAGGTTATGTTCACATTAGCTGAAGCTTCATCTGCATGTTGGCTGGATCTGATGTTTCAGATCTATCACCATTTAAGACCCATCGTAGAGATCAACATTAGAATGTATGGAAAATTAGGAGGAATTGATTACCTCGTAGTAGGAAGTCAGATGTAACCCACAGATGTGTTTTGTCGGCCTTCAGCAATTTTTAAAATTTAAAATTAGCTGTCAGCACTTAAAATTGGGATATTTCAGAAAAAAACCTGGATTTCTGGCTCTTGAGAAATAGAGTCATTTGGCCACTCTGAGCCCCCATTACCACATGGCAACCAGGGGCTGCAGGTGAATTTTAAATGTGAGGATTGTCTTGTGCGTCACAATCCCCATCATTCTGTCACTTTAATAGACTTTATTCTTTTAGAGCAGTTTCAGGTTCACAGCAGAATCGAGCAGAAAATACAGAGAGTTCCATTCTGTCACTTTAATGTTTAGTCAAGGAACTTACCTTTTTTGTGTTTTCCTACTGTTTCCTGTAGGCACCTGCTTTATCCCGAATTTAAAGAAAGCTAAGCCCAGAGAAAGTTTCTCTGTAGTATGAACATGCTGATCTGTTTCAGGCTTTCCACCAAGTTAATTCAGTTCTACTTAAGACCTCCAGAGTCTTGTTCTGAATTTCAGGTGGCCTGTTAGAAAGCCCCAGAAATGAGCTCGCTCACTGCTTACACTTGGGAGCCTGTCCTTTTTCCTGGATGGGGAAGACTTTTGAGGGGGGTCTCTCTCAGTCTCAAGGAAAGTGACTAATATTTCTGTTTCCCAGTTTGAAGATGCATGACCTTAGACTTCAAGCAATAGCCACCCCCTCAGTAAGATGTGTAGAAGAGATATTTGTTTGCTGCTAGGCCTTTATTTGAAAGCGATTTTGAGGGGAAAGGTGAAATCACGGCCTTTCTGTTCAGAGCAAAGCTGTGTGCTTTGTTTATTTGCCTTGACAGGTGTTTCTTTTTCCTGAGCGTTGTTTCAGGATATCCAGCTGGACAAACTGTCTCTCTGTTCCTGTCTGTGATGTTGGTTCTGGGCATTGCTGTCAATATTGTTGATGGACCTCTGATTAATTTTTAAGCAGGTTAACCTGTGGTCCCAAGACTGGCTGACGAAATCAGCCAGTTTGAGATGATCCAGGCGGTGATAGCTTTCTCCGTTGCACTTAACAAATGTTTAGTAAGCAGTTCCAGTGTGGTGTTCAGGGGCACCCAGTGAACCAGAAAACAAGCTAGAATGCGCCCCATGTCATGAATGCGGTGGAAGACCTGGGCAGGGCTGAGGAATCCGGGAGGACTGAGAAGATGGCGCTTACACCGCTGTCTCGCTGTAGTGTTTTGGTCTCCAGATAGTCTTACACTATAGGACTACCCCCTGAATCTGTGAATAATTACATGCATCTCACCCAAACGTTTCACTTGGTAAAAAATGAAATGTGTGAATCATCTATGAGATAGATTTACTTTATCACCAAGTGTGATTTAGAATGATTATTTCTGTGTATCAAGAACACATCTACCATCTTGCTGGTTAACCCCTTCTCACTAATTCTCTTCTGCGAGTGTAGCTTCAGTGGATTTTGTTGAATGGGAAATTCAGATGAGTGATAAAAAGTCAAGAGTTTTCTTCTAGCTGTTAACTTTTGTAATGAAGATGATGCCTTTTGGGCAAAATGTCTACATACAGTAGTTATGTAGGTGGTTTCCAGATCCCAGAAGCAGTCCTCGTTATGAATGAAGACAGAAGGAGAACAGCGGGTCATTGGGAGGCGTTTGCTAGCTGTACCACGTGGGGAGACTGATTTAAGCTCCATGAGCCTTAACCATACAGTAAGGATAATAGTATCGACTTATAGGGTTTTTGTGAGAATTAAATGGTCTGTTACAAGTGCTTGGCCTATAGTAAGCAAAAAATACTAGATATTATTTTCTTAAAGAAATTTTTTAAATATTTAAGTTAGACCATATAAATATCTTTGTTCATTTGGTGATTGTTAGAAATTTTGGTTGGTTTTTTTTTTTTTTTTTTTTGGACCAGCAGTAATATCACTCTTGAGGACCATAGGTTAGACTTTTGAGGCTACAAAGTGCCCACTGTGCCCTAAGGCTAGCCCACAGCCCACTTCCTCTTTGCTTTTTTTCCTCCTATGTTTAGGAGAATAGGAGTTTTTATTTCATAGGAGTGTTAAAGGGCACTCTGGAACCATCTCAGGTATTAGTAAAAGAGCCAACATTTTGTGAGTCCTTTGTACATGCCAAGCCCTGCGTAAGCATTTTACATATATTACTATCACATAACCTGCACAACACTATGCTGTGGGTGTTGGCCCCATTTTACAGAGGAGGAAACTGAGGCTTGAGAAGTTAAGTAGCTTGCCCCACATCCCTCACTTAAGCAAGTATTAGTGCTAGCATTCAACGCCAGGTCCAACTCCAAAGGCCAGGCCTGGGAAAAGGAGAGCCGGAGATTGTCCCCAACTCCCAGGCTCACTGTGCCTCCCCAGGACCTCATATCCTGCCAGGAAGTGGAAGCTTCTTTCTGCTTTTAGAACATTCGCACTCTCCTCACCCTGTGGTATGCTGTGTTAGTTTCTCATACCTCAAACCTAGTGAATTAAAGCCCCAGAAATTTATTCAGCCACAGTTCTGGAGGCTGGAAGGTAGAAATCCAGGTTTTGCTGGCAGGACCACACGTCCTTCAGGGACCCTTGAGCAGGATCCATGCTTTGCCTTTCCCAGTGTCTGGTGGCTGCTGCCTTCCTTGGCCCGTGGTGTAGTGCTCCAGTCTCTGCCTCCCAAATTCCTGTGGCCTCCTCCTCTGAGTCTATCAGATCTTTCCTGTGTCTCAGAAGGAAACTTGCCAGTGGACTTAGGGCCCACCTGGATCATCCAGGATGCTCTCTTCATCTCAAGATCCTTAATTACATCTGCAAAGACCCTTTTTTCCAAATGAGGTAACCTTCACAGGTACTGAAAATGAGGCCATGGCTCCATCTGTCAGGGACAGGCACTCCCCATGCTAGTGGGTGCTTGGCCAGCCGTCAAGCAGGGTCCTGTCCTCTGGCACTCGCTGCGGTCAGGCAGAGGCTGCTCTTCCAGTGGAATGACTGACTGTCAGCAAGATTGCACAACGGGGCAGTGTTCTAAGGACGTGTCCGTCCTTTTCGTGTTAATGACACACGGGAAGTCCAGCTGAAAGCCTGCGGGGCTTCCCCTGAGGTGGTGGCGGCCTCTCTCACAAGGTCTCCTTCTCTTTCAGATTGCTGACCTGCAGCTCCACAAGCTGGATGAACTGGACTGCCTGATTCAGGGCCTGCTTTACGTTGACTCCGTGGGCTTCAACGGCAAGCCGGAATGTTACTATTTTGAGAATCCCACAAATCCCGAATTGTGTCAAAAAAAGCCGTACTGCCTCGATAACCCATACCCTATGTTGCTGGTGAACATGGGCTCAGGTGTCAGCATCCTAGCCGTGTACTCCAAGGACAACTATAAAAGAGTTACAGGGACCAGGTAAACGCGGTTTCCACTAGGAGAAACTCTTTCTGCTTAAACCCAGGCCTCTTGCTTGAAGACCAGTTTATCAAAAGGTTATTTACATTGAATACATTTGTAAAGGAAAGATCTTACCCTCCTCGGCCAAACAAAAAGGATCTATTGGACATGTTACACAGGGTGACTTATGTAAAGGTTAATAAAATACAGCCGTCGCTCTTGCTGGAAACTGGTCAGATTGAGGGAATAAGGGTCCCACATACCAGAAGTTTCCCCAAAGGCAGTGCCTGCTAAGCGCCAGGCGAATGGCAGGGACCAAAAGCACAGCAGAATCCAGGGGGAAGGATGCTGGGGATGGTCAGAGAGGGCTTCAGAGGAAACCTTCTTTTGGAACTACCTGGGTGCCTAGTCCAGGGAAAATTGCTTGAAATAATGTCATTGCAGTCAGTGAGCTAAACTGGATTTACACAGAGTGTTTTTTACCCTCAGGTAAATGCTCCAGCTGCAAAGTGGAGTAGTTGGCACTCCTCACAGAGAATCTGAGAGCGTAGTGAACAGGAAAACAGCCCCGCGACCCCACAGCTGGGCAGAGCGCCTTGTTTCTTAGCATACACACCCCAAGGGCACATGGGCTCAGCTTCGGGGTCAGAAGGACCCAGGGTCAGAAGTCTTTGAGAAGTCCTAGTGGAAACAAAGTTAGGTAGGTTTTCCTTACTTGTAAGAGGATTTGCTACGTATGAATTGTTTCTTCAACTTCTTGGACCACGGAAGCATTTTTGGAGGAACAACTTAAGAAACTAGTTTTGCAGCAGGTGCTTTGGGGCATGATATTGAAACCGTTGTTTTGGATAGATGGAGATAATCGTGTGACTTCTCTGGGCCCCCAGACCCTTGTCCGTGCCATGAGTGAGTTGTTTCTTAGTTTCTGCAGCTTTCCCAGCACTGACGTTCTGCCGTACTGCTCACCCCTGACGGGGAGGGCACTGCTTTTCTTCCGTATTAACATGGCTTGTGAAGGGACTACATAGATCAGTGGTTCACTGCCGGGGAGGGGAAAGTTGAGCCCCTCCAGGGGATGTTTAGCAATGCCTGGAGACATTTTTTGGTGGTTCCAACTGGAGGTGGGGTGACACTGGCATCCAGTGACCAGAGGTTGGGGATACTGCTAAATATCCTCCATTGCATAGGCCAGCCCCACCAAAAAAGTATTGAGCCCCGAATGCTAATAGCAGTGATGTTCAGAAACCCTGGCGCACACATTCTGACTGGTCCTGCTCGTGTCCAGAATGTAGGCTTTGGTGGCTTGAGTTAATTGCCACTGGACAATACATTCCCACCGAGCAAACAGAACTAAGCTCACTTGCTCACAGAAGAGTCACAGCTAGCCCCAGGGCCCCATCAGGACTGTCGGAAGTATCAGAGACAAATGAAGATTTCAGCTGAGCTGGTTTAACATTAAGAGTGATCTCCTGAGAAAGGTATAATTTTTAAGAAACTACAAACTTCCTCCCAAAAGGAGTAATTGTGTTGGTAGAGCTAGCCCCAAGGTAACAAGGCAAACGTTCCCCACAATTAGAGACAGTTATTACTTTGTTGATGAACACGTAACAAATTCATGAATTATATCACAGTTAGTCTCTCTTGAACTTGGAGATTCCAGGGGTCTGGGTCATCGTCTGCTAATGAGCCAGCTGTGGTGTTTGGCATCTGTTACGGGTGCAGTAATGCCTATAAATTGCAGTCACTGGTAAACACCTGTTACTAACCAGTGCTTTGCAATCATCAATAAATCCTGTCTGGATGTCCAAGCTCCCTTATAAGCTCTCTTTAAGCAGTAGTTTTGGAAATGTGCTACAGGAGACTGAAGGTTCATAGAGAGCCTTTTCCAGGACTGCCAAGGTCAGGGAGGTGAATGAAACATCAAGTCTGTGGGCCCCACACCCTCCTTGTCCAACCAGAATTGTTCTACCAAAGGTTTTTTTTTAATCCAAGTTAGAAAACCACTGATCTAAACTACAGGCACACCTCAGCAATATTGCCGGTTTGGTTCCAGACCACCACAATGAAGTGGATGTCACAATAAAGTGAATTACACAGATTTTTTGGTTTCCCGGTGCATATAACATTTGTGTTTACATTGTACTGTAGTCTATTAAGTGTGCAATAGCATTACGTCTTTAAAAAAGTACCATTAAAAAGATACATTATTGCCAAAAAATGCTGTCATCTGAGCCTTCAGGGAATCAATCTTTTTTTTGCAACAGTAACATCAAAGATGACAGAGCACCATAACAATTATAATAACAACTAAAAAGTTTGAAATATTGCAAGAATTGCCAAAATGTGACACTGAGACACAAAGTGAGCAAATGCTGTTGGAAAAAGGCACCATAGACTTGGGGATACACAAACCTCCAATTTATAAAAAATGCAACATCGGAGAAGTGTGATAAAGTGAAGCGCAGTAAAATGAGGTGTGCCTGTATTTTGGTCAGCAGTGAACATCAGTGTGTGGAACACACTTTGGGAGACTCTGCTTTAAGCAAACAGCTTAAGCTTTAAGTTTTGCTGCTCCTATTGTGAACTGACAGGTGTAACTAGGTTTTTGGTATTCACCTAGACCCTCTATTCCCAATATAAGCACTTTTATTTTTAGGAAGCCACATCATTACAGAATATCAGTTCTCTTCTCTGAATTTTTAAAATTATTATTCTTATTTTTTATTGAAGTGTAGTCAATTTACAATGGTAGTTTCAGGTGTACAGCAAAGTGATTCAGTTGTACATATACATACATATATATTTTTTTCAGTTTCTTTTCCATTACAGCTCATTACAAGAAGTTGAATATGTTCCCTGTGCCATACAGTAGGATCAGTTTTCTTTTAAACATATGATTTTATATGGTTCGTTTCAGTGTTATATGTAATTTTATCACATCCTAATTAGTAGCAACATTTTTTTCCTACTGACAACTCCAATTTTATTATAGAAGTCAATGAAAAAAACAGGACTTAACAGCTGACACTGTTAGCATGTGTAATCTATTGAAAAGAGGAATGTAAAGAAGTTTAAAACTTCAATGAAATGAGCAGTGCAGCTTATTTCATTCTTTTGGAATCTGTTTTAAGGGCATGAGCATTCAGGAATTGAAGATTTTCTTGTACTTCTCCCTAAAATTCCTCACTACAAGGTTGCTGGGTTTTTTCTTTTTTTTGAAAGTAATGATGTTTTGGACCCTTATTTGCCAAGGGTCTTGCTGTGTGTCTGCTGAAACAAACAGATGTATCTGATTGTGAGTGAGAGAGTCACTAGATGAAATAATGGTTAGCAGGTTGAGGATGTTAATAAAGTGCTCTTCTGCGACTGTTCATTCTTTCCTCCTCTCTGCAGTGTCCCAGCTGTGCCCGTGCATGCCCGCTTTCCCCATTCAGCTCCGATTCTGTGTCTGGAGTCACCTGTCATTTTCCAGTCATACAAAGCCCCTGTCCTTTTTCACTCATACCAACCCATCAGATGATGAGTTGCCTTCTTTCTAAGTCCGCCAGTGTCTTCAGGTGTCTATTTTTGGAGTTGGTTGTTGAACACCTCGATAAATACAAACACCTGAGGTTCAAAGAAGGGTTATTCATGTGGATGAGAGATAGAAGCTAGAAAGATGAGCAGAAATTTTAAAAAAATATACAGAAGGAAAACAAGACAGATTCAGATGGCACTCAGACCAAGAAGTGTTCCCGTTAAAACCACTAGCTTTGTAGGGTCGACTGAAACCAACAATGTATCAAGACCCGCCATGTTAAAAGTAAATGAAGGCAAACTTTCTTAAAGGAAATTCAGAATTTCTCCTGTGATTGAGCTGTTAAGGTAGTAATGCCCACAGAGCTCTTTTAGTCCTCATGGTGCTGCACCTACAATTTGGATAGCTGTGACTGGTGATGCCTAGCTACCTAATTTTCCATGAGAATCCATCATTTCAATCAAGAATCACTATTAAGAAATATTACAGTTAATGCTTTAGATGTGATTTAAAGAACTGTGTCTAGTTAGAATCTGGTACCTTCTTGTTACCGGTTATTGACAGTAAAAAGAGTTTTCCCTAGATTTCTTTTTTCAAATTTAAGTTTTAAAAATAACCTCAATCTTAACTTGAATTTTCTCTTAGAATTAAAAGCCAGTACCCAAATACATGGAATTCCCAGGGCTAGCAGCTCTTGGGGCTTCAGAACAAACTGGTGTGCATTTACCCTTCTCCGTGGTACAGAGAGTAAGACCCATCAGTGCTCTTTTTCGTGCCAGGAGTTCACTGGTGACAGCTTTGTTCTGATTCTGCTCTTCTTCCTCTCCGGTATAACAGACAATTGAGTTCACTTTCAGCTATCATCTTTGGTTTCTAGTTTTGTCTTAAAAGACTGTTTTCAAGGAATTTCCCTGCAAACAGCTGAAAGCTTTTAAAACTTAGTTTCAGCATTGAAACCATTTTAAGATTTTTTTTAACTATTTTTTGACTATTGAGTGGTAAGTAAAATACTGATAACCTTTTCTAGAGTTTACTAGAAAAATTCCAATATGAGACCCATCAGTGGTTTTCTTTTTTGAAACTTCTGAGGCACTTAACTGAGATTATTTCTGCCGGATAAGCAAGGTCAAGTGAAAGACAGATTTTGGGCTGGCAGCTCCTGGCAGAGCCCCAGTTCAGTTTTGTCATCACAGAATTTGGCTCTATAGATATGGACTACACTTCACGTATACAGTTTCTTTTTCTAAATATTTGATTTAGCTACATTTGTATATATGTATATATATATATTTTAATAGTAGTCATTTCTCTGGTTATTTGCTGCTTTCAGAACCCCCAAATAAGGGAGATAGGTCATGATTTGACCCCTTTTTTCTTAAATAATTTTTTTTTAAATGGAAGTACTGGGGATTGAACACAGGACCTCATGCATGCTAAGCATGCGCTCCACCACTGAGCTATTAATCAACACCCCCTGGGCCCCATTTTATAGGTGGAAAGTTTGCATGAGGCACTTAGGTCAATAGCTAGTTGAAGGTCTCACAACAGAAAGCAGTGAGAGTCTTTCCCTGGTTTTATTCTTCAATTTCAGGGCAAATTTTCCTTGATGTTTCTTTTAGTCTCTGCCCTCTTTTTTTTTAAATCCAGTCTACCCTAAAGCTCTTTTTCACCCAGCACTTAAACTCAAGTGCCCCTTTGTTTTTCTCCTGTTTTTTTTTTAACCCATATTCATGGTCTTGATGTAGTTGGGGACTTGGATGGGCATCTCTTAAAGTAAAACTTAAAAATAAACCTTATTGTTCCTTCAGTCTTGGAGGTGGAACATTCCTAGGCCTATGTTGCTTGCTGACTGGTTGTGAGACCTTTGAAGAAGCTCTGGAAATGGCAGCTAAAGGCGACAGCACCAATGTTGATAAGCTGGTGAAGGACATTTACGGAGGAGACTATGAGCGATTTGGCCTTCAAGGATCTGCGGTAGCATCAAGGTAGAGACTGAGTAGCTAGGAGCAGTAGTGATTAAAAGACAAGGCAACCTCTCCACCCCGGCTGTTCATTTAGTTTTTTTGGTTTTTTTTTTTTTTTATGCCAACCCACCAGCCTGGTGCAAGAATCTATGGGATTGGAGCTCAGACTTGATCTCCTGCCCTTGATGAAGCACTGAGATGTTTAATTCTTGATGCTTGTGCTTAAAATAAGGCAGCTTTGAAAGAAGGTTCTGGAAAACTTCAACAGTTTCCCCTGTTCCATTCTTGTCCAGATATCTAGAGGCATTTAAATTTTTTTTTCCCCCATTAATAGCCATGCTACTTTGTTCCTATTAAGAAAAGGGCAGCCAACCATTCATATCATAAGCCTGTCTGCTTGTAAACCACGGTAGCCAAGTCAGGTCACTTGAGCGTGATCAGAGTTGCTCATAAAGCTCTCCGCAGTACTTTGGTGGAAGCATGGGGCCTGCCTGAGGACGATTTTGAACACTCTCGCTAATATTTCCAACATAGCTTTGGCAACATGATGAGTAAGGAAAAGCGAGATTCCATCAGCAAGGAAGACCTCGCCCGAGCCACCCTCGTCACCATCACCAACAACATCGGTTCCATTGCTCGGATGTGTGCATTGAATGAGGTAAGGCCTTAACCAGGGAAAGCCGTGTATCATTCATAAACATCGTCTTTGGCAGTGCAGTCACTGTTGACCCTCACAAAACTCCGGATCCTTGGGAAACCTGCCCTCCAATGGAGTCACACCTTGTAGCATGTGAAGGGTGTGTGTTGGGGGAGTGAGAGGAGTATGTGTTTGCCTTTTAAGTAGGCACTGGATGAGAACAAAACCATCTAACCATGGAAGCATGGTAAAAATTGCCATCTATGCCGGAGCCTCTCCAGCCTCATGGCACGCACTTATTGAAGTGCCTCCTGCCCAATAGTTGCAGGTAAACGATTCCACTTGCGATATGTGATTTTTCTCTCTGCTTTCAGCTTCTTTACAGTGTTGCCTTGTGGCATGGAGTTCAAGCAGCATTGTACAGGGCTATCAAAGCACAGAGAGCTTGCTGCAGCCGAGGCCAGCCAGGCAGAGCCCCAGGCACGAGAAGGGGCGGAGCTGGTGACAGACAAAGCTTTGGTAACAGGTTTTAAAACATTGCAGAATTCCTTTGGAAAGAATAGAACCCTTTTCTGAAATATGAAACAAGTCAAATAGACCAGCTCTCACTGAGCTGTGTTAGGAAGACAAGAAAGAGGAGTCGGAGCAAGGAATAGATAATAGGAGAAGTATTAAAGAGTCATCGGTAATAATGCTCCAGTAATAGTTTTAAAATACAAATTTTAATAGAAATATGACATACATACGAAAGAGGGTTCAAATCACAAGTGTACAGCCTGATGAATTTTCACTCGCACACTCGCACACACACACCTGTGTAGCCACCACTCAGATCAAGAAGCAACATTACAGGTCCTGCAGAAGCCCTTTCCAGCCCCCTTTCTGGTTGCATAGTGGCGTGTTAAACAAGATCTGAGGCAGTCTTTACCGCAGGTGGATGACAGCCCTGCCTTTGAACGCTGGCTGGGATTACAAGAGAGACACCCTCCTTTCACAGTACTGAACAGAATTTGTCACTGGCCCATGGATCAGGGTCATACTTTTTGTAAGTCCCCGTTTCAGCTGGAGTTTAAACACGAGGCTGGCATTTGGGTGAAAGAATGTATTCCAGAGACATGCCATCTCAAAGTCCACTGTGGTCATGAGACCCATTTTAACAGAGCATTTGTTTTTTGACTTCAACCTCTAAAGAGTTTTTCCAAGTAGCCAAACAAACCCTAAGACCAGCACGTGTGCAGTTGGCTGTACTCGTGGACTCTCAAAGTCCTCCTTGAATGTGCTGCCTCCTGCCCCACAGAGCAATAGATGCCCTTTCCCCTGCTTTCCACAGAGGCTGAGGAAGCCAGCAGGTCTTTTTACAGGTGTCGTAATCACTTTAGGGAGAGGGCAACTGATTTTATTTTTCACTTTTTATTTCAATTTCAATGCCATTTATTGTTGGAGTATAGCAAAAATGGCTGTTTGAAAGTGTAGCCAGGTTACATGCTTGTTGGAGGAACTGTTTTAGTTTCTGTGGCGTTGAATGAGTGAGGGGAATCACGGATCGCCCGGGGCAAGGGCTCGGTCAGCTGGCATCGTGCCAGCACAGGCTCCCTGTGGCCGCACAAGCAGCTGGCAGCGTCACGCTCCCCCGTGAGACGTGACATAGGTTCTTAAGCCATTGCTTTGCTCCCTGGGGTCACTGATTGGAGAAGCTTTGATTCCAGCCATAGAGAGACACCACATTTCCTGAATCTAAAATCTTTTTCTGTCATTATTGGAATGCTATGAAATGCTTCTCCATCAACTTAAAAATAACTTTGTTGTTCCTTTTTTTGAATAGAAAGTACAAACGCATAATACAGAGCCCTGAAGACACCAGAAGGAGGGTCTGCAGAGGAGTCACCATTTCCACCTGCTCCCTCAATTTTAACCTCACTAGAGGCAGCCATTGTTTTTAGGTTTTTTGTTTTGTTTTGTTTTCACTCTATATTGCCTGCAAGATAGGATAAACATATCCTTCCAAAGGTACCAAACTCCATATAAATTCTTTTTCTAAACAACAGGTTTTTTGGGTTTTTTAAATTTTTGTTTTTCATTGAAGTGTTGTCAGTTTACAATGTCTAAACAAGAGTTTTACTGAGATAGAATCACATGTCCTACAGTTCACGCTCTACATACTATTTTACATCTTGCTTTGCTTGTTTGTTTGTCAACTTTTTGTTAGGAAATTGGTGAACATACATCATGGAGAGAGAAGAGTACAAAGAATCCCCATGTAACCATCAGCCCTGACCCAGCAGTTAGCAAGACCGCCACACATGCTCTGGTTTCTTCCTCCTCCTCTTCCGTTTTCTCCCTCTTGTGCTGAAATATTTGAAAGGCACCCCAGACATTGTGTCAGTTTACCCTACATACTTCAATATGCACTTTTGGAAATACTGCTTTTTGCTTTTGTACATGATAATTCATCTTGAGCTTATTCATGTGGGTATATTTAGAACTGCTTAGTTTTTAATGGCTGTATAGTATCCTAACATGTAGATATGCTATTCTTGATTTGATCAATTTCCTACTGATAGAGAGCATTATCTAGACTTTTGCTATTATTTAAAATCTGTAGTATATTTTATATATATATATACATAGTGTGTGTATATATATATAGTCTGTATATATATATATGTATATATATTTGGAAAACATTTTATATCATTTCATATACATCTGGGTATATCTATAGGATATATTCCTAGAATGGAAATTGCTGAGGCAAAGCATATGCTGATTGTAACTTTGACATAAATCCCCTCCACAGAGATGGGTCTAATTTATATTCCCACCAGCAAAGTGTACAAGTTTCCCTCAGACAGCTGTCAAACTTTTTGATCTGTTTCAATTTCATAGGTAAGAAATGCTGCCTGGTTTTAATTTGTATCTTTCTTCTTATAAGTGGGGCTGAGTATTTTCCATCTATTTAATAGCCATCAGCACTTCCCCTTTTGTGGGTGTGTGAACTATCCATACTGTTCACCCATTTTTTTTCTATTACATTGTTGGTCTTTTTCCTTATTGATTTGTAGGTAACTAATCCATCCTATTGATAGGTACTGAAACTATTTTTTATGCTTATTGCTTTCCATTTGGATTTGTTCATGGTGATGTTTTTCCCCCTGAATAAATACTTGATTTTTGAAGTAAATATAGCAGTCTTTTTTTTAATGGATTCTGAGTGTTGTATCTTTTCTTCTTCAACGTTATTTTTAAAAGGAAGTCTTTCATGTTTACTTCTAGTCTCTCTTACCTTTTTTTTTTTAACATTTATATCTTAGACCCACCTGGAATTTATTTAAAATGAGGAATATCCATTAGCTTTTAATGCCATTTCTATTTCTTCTGGCCTTCCACCAGAGAAGTGCAGGACTGAGGCTTTGAACAAGACATATCTCAGATGCCCTTGTTTTGAGGGAAAAGGTGAAACTCCTAATTTTAATTAAATTCCTCTTTAATCTGTTTCTTCTTTTGAGTATTCCCTGCCCCTTCTTAGTCTGGGCAGTTTGTGGCTACAGTTGTTATTTGTGGAAGCTTATTAAAACTGCCTCCCACCCTTCTACCCCCCGAAAATGTTCACAGTGGTTAATGATGCATTGTTAAAACTTGAGACAGTTAAAGGGCGATGTTCCCAGACCCTGATTACTCTTGATAGACTGAACAGTAAATAATGCCAGCTTCTAAGACTCTCCTCCCTTTGATATGAGTGACCACAGCAACTGGCTCTGTGAGTGAGTGCATGGTGAGCAGCCTCTGTGTGGTGGACCAGCTGAGCTCAGTGTGACGTGTGTGTTCAGAATGCATATCTGTATCCATGACAACAAAAACTGAAATACATTCTTCGTTATCGTATTATAACCCACATTTTGACCTAACAGGATAGTTCACCATGTATCCTAAAGGTAGAGACTGGGTATTGTTTCTTTTTTGGTTTCCCAGTGATTAGCACAGAGCAGCCTGACCAAACTCGTTAGCTAAATAACCCATACCTTAGCCATTTTATTTATGAGTTGTAAATAATACTGTTTTATAGATGGAAGTTTGGGGGATTGCACAAGCAAATTTAGCTGAACTTGAACTCCAGTTGCAAGTTTACATATGAATGTTGAGAGCTGAATTTCTTGTCAGACCTAAGGCAGCCTAACATATTACCTGTAAACAAGCCCAGTGTCAGTCTGCCTCACCCAAGCAGAGTCTCACCCTTGTGTTCTTGTGGAACGCACTGTGAGGTTTGTTTGGCTTCATCTTGGAAATCCTGAAATAATTCCACTTAAAAAAAGAAATTCACTCTGCAAGATCCTGGAGTGCAATCGATGTACAGAACATTGGGTCGTTGCTAAATGCTATTTTTATGCCATGGTTCAACTGTTTCCCTTTTCTCTTATTTTTTTCCAGAATATTGACAGAGTTGTGTTTGTTGGGAACTTTCTCAGAATCAATATGGTCTCCATGAAGCTGCTAGCATATGCCATGGATTTTTGGTCCAAAGGACAGCTGAAAGCTCTGTTTTTGGAACATGAGGTAGGTTGGGCTCACATGGACTTAATTTTCCTACATGGAAGTTTTTTGGGTTGTCTAAGGGATGGGCAGGTGCCTTCATTTGTATTTCTGCAAAAGGTAAGGAAGAACAATATATAAAATGAAAACTGTCTTATCCAACAGTCAGGAGTAGTCGTTGGTTAATTTTTTTTTAAATCAGTTAAAATGGATAATCATTAAAAAGTATCTCCCTACTTTCACCATTCTGTTTTAATACAAAATGTATAAATGTTCATTCATTCACCAATTTTTTGATGTAAGACCAAGGCCTATTTCTGAGCAAGGGTTCTGCCAGTCAGAGCTTGTAACTGTCCCCCGCTCCCCCATAATGCACAAGTATTAGGTACCTTCTTTGTTTTCTTGTTTGTTTCTTGAAAGTGGATCAAGAAATTAAAGATACTTATGAATCAGTTCAGTTGCAGAATCCTAGACTTCCCCCCCCAATCTTTCATATTCATTGTGCACCTAAATAGACAGCAGTGGTTTGTGATTACCTTTTCCAAGCTTTGTTTCATTTTTTCCCCCAATTTTATTGAGATATAGTTGACATACAACATTGTGTAAGTTTAAGGTACACAATATAATGATTTGATATGTGTATATATTGTAAAATGATTATCATAATAAGTTTAGTTATCATCCACCACCACATACTGATACAAAGATTTTTTTTTCCTTATGATGAAAACTTAAGATTTACTCTCCTAGCAACTTTCACTATTGTTAACTACCATTTTCATCTTCTTCAAGAATTCAACTGGATTTTCACAGAAGTGACCATTCATTTTGTACTCTTTGTATTGGTTTAGGTGGCATATAATTAAATCAGATGATTACATTAATAATACAACTGTCATAAACAAATTTGAGGAGAAACACAGCTGACTCTTGGCAAGTAAACAACCCAGCTGGTGAGAATCGACTTGCTTGGGCTACTAAGAGTAGGCCAGTGGCCTTGAGAAGCTGGTGTGCCTAAACGTGAGCCAGCCTTCCTAAAGAGAACTAGGGAGCTCGCCTAATTCAGAGAGTCCCTTATATCCAGTTTCTACACTAATACAAATCGGAGGTTTTCTAAGAGTGAGTGAGGGGTCCTCCTCTCTTCCCACCTCCTCTATCCCCGTTTAAAATTAATTCTACAAAACGATGTGACTGACAAGGGCTTAATTTCCAGAATATACAAATAGCTCATACAACTCAATAACAAAAAAACAAACAACCCAATCAATAAATGGGTGGAAGAGCTAAACAAACATTTCTCCATTGAAGACAATGAAGACATTCTCCAAAGAAGGCCAATAGGCACATGAGAAAATGCTCAGTATCACTAACTGTTAGAAAAATGCAAATCAAAACTACAATGAGGTATCACCTCACACCAGTCAGAATGGCCATCATTAAAAAGTCTGCAAATAATAAATGCTGGAGAGGCTGTGGAGAAAAGGGGATCCTCCTACATTGCTGGTGGAAATGTAGTTTGGTGCAACCATTATGGAAAACAGTATGGAGATTCTGTAAAAAATTAAAAATAGACTTACCCTATGATCTAGCAATCCCACTCCTGGGCATGTATCTAGAGGGAAGTAAGCCAGAAAGAGAAAGAAACATACCATATGATATCATTTATATGTGGGATCTTTAAAAAATGACACAAATGAACTTATTTACCAAACAGAAACAGACTCACAGACATAGGAAGCAAACTTCTGGTTTACCAGCAGGGAAAAGGGGAGGGCGGGTGGAGGGATCAATTGGAAGTTTGGGATTTGCAGATACTACTTTACATGCAATAGATAAACAGCAAGGTCCTACTGTACAGCACAGGGAACTATATTCAATACCTTATAATACCTTACAATGAAAAAGAATATGAAACGAAATATGTGTATGTATATATGTATAACTGAATCACTATGCTGTACACCAGAAATTAACACAATGTTGTAAACCAGTTATACTTCAATAAAAATTTTTTTAAATAAAAATAAATAAAATCAATGCTATAGAGAGTAGTAACTGTTTATCACAGGAGGTACTTAATGCCTTGAGTGTATTGCAGCAGACAGAACATTGGGAAAACTAGTATCATAAATTTCAATTGTAATGAATAACTACTGTGGCATTTTTCTCATCTCCAAACTAAATTATTCATTTGAAAAGTTGCCGATGCATTTATAAGTTATTTAGAGCTCTCTAAACTTATTTTTTGTTTTTATCAAAGCACATAAAACAATAGGAAGTTAAATACTAAATAGTTTTAAAGCTCAGTGATAGAAATTAATACAAAAGAAAGTTTTTGGTTTTGTTTTTTTAAGCAGGCCAAGGTACGAAGTGCTGTAACGTTTTTGTAGGGGGTAAGGGCAACAGAGTCTCAGAATTTTCACTCCCCCTCCCCCAACCAGAGCAGCTCCCTTTTTATCTGCTTATTTATCGATTTTCCTTGTAAGATTTTGTTGGAAAAAAAAAACAATTAAAATGAAAAAAGAAACCACTCTTCTAGTCCATCTAGTGCTGCCAGATTTAGCAATTCAAAATACAGGACAGTTATTCTACCTGACATTTATTTGTGTTTTATTTGGCAACCCTAAGTTTAGAGCTTCTTGGACTAAGTCAGAAAACAAATCCTGGAAGCCATCAGGGATTCAAAGCCATCTACAAGGGCACCCAGGTAGTTCATTGATGGTAAGATATGGGATGAGATCCAATGTTTGAGGGAAACCCAGTTCTCTGGGTACAAATGCATATCACTTTGTACAAGCTTAGGTCTCTGGGTAATGGCTTTGGTTTGGATCATAACTCAGTCTCTGTGGCCAGTGACAGTGGAGCATTTTTATATCTCCTTGTAAATATTTCTCAGAGAATTATTGGCATGCATAGGTTCACTCTGGCTCGGGCAGGTCGTACTGGAGGATATTATGCAGAGAGAACTTTTGAGAGGGTTGGTGAGGCGGCTTTCCTGCCCTGCCTCGGAGTCAGCACTCACTCAGTCTCTCATTCATTCAGCTTGTCCGAGTGAGCATCTCTAAGAGAAGGCGGCTAGCCACGCCGTTCAGAGCACAGCCTCTCACCGACTTGGAGACCCTAGGCAGTGACTCTACCTCTCCATTTCTGTCTGTGTTTGTAAAATGGGGTGACAGGAGTATTTGTCTCATAAAGTTATTGTGTGAAGATTGAGTATCCACGTTAAGTGCTTAGAACAATTTCTGGCATATAGCGAGAGCGCTCGATAAATGTTAGCTGGTGGCGGTGGAGGCAAAGGTCCTGCCATGGGGTGTTCTGACATCTGCCACCGATTTCTGCAGTAACTAACTGGTATATCAGGCAGATAGCAGAGGAGCAGAGTCTCCTACCTTTTGGAAACCAGGTTCTCTAAAAATTTCTATTTTTCGATTTCTTTCATTTTCACAGATACTTGGGGTTTTCTTTTACAGATGAGCAAAATGTTGCTTGGACTGATTTAGATGCCTTCCCAAGATCTACTGAGAGACGCTTACAGTGAGACAGTACACCTCTGAAGTCACAGAGATTTGGGATTGAGCCCTGGCCTAAGTCATATGACCCTGAAAGAGTCATTCACTTTATTACCTTCTATTTCTCATCTGTGGAATGGGGGTAATAATGCGAATCTTGCCATGACAAGGATTCAGATGAACTAATCATGCTACTAAAAAGACCCAGCACTGATGTAGCACACACTATGGTGCCAGACATTTTTATAAGCCCTTTACATCAGTTTACTTATTTAATGTGTATAAACAGGTAGATATCTAATACATGCTCTTATTATTATTATTATCATTATCATTATTATTATTATATCATGTTTCTTGGCAGAGTTCAGGTTTTAAATTTCCCTTATCTACAGCAGTAGGGGGCAACATTCCTAGAATTGTTAAAAAAAAAAAAAAAGAAAAGAAAAGAAAAACAATAGGAATTTGGCTAAGGTTCAGGAAGAATCATACAGAAGTTTTCCCCTTGTTGTTGTAGGGTTACTTTGGAGCTGTTGGGGCACTGCTGGAACTGTTCAAAATGTCTGATGACCAGTAGAGATGAGCCATGGATGGAACAGCCTTCTGTGCGAACAGGGAACCGAGCTCTGCTGCTGGAAAGGGTGAAAGCCACTGTGGGATGGAAGCCAAGCCATTATGGAAGATGAACCTGCTGGATTTGTAAATACTTTAAAATCCTTCTAGCTGATCTTTTACTTTGGATTTTGAGCTTATGATTCAAATTGGGGAATATAAGAGTTTTTTTCTGTATACTGCATTTAAAAAAAATTTGTGCAGTGTAGCCAAACCTACCAATTTTATGCATTGACTTTGAAAAATGGTATGATGTTTAAGAAGGACCTGAAATGTAAGTGCTGTTTATTTTTCTTCTGGGGTTTACTGATCAGTGTGGTAATTTTAACTTCATTTAGTAATTACTCTAGGAGATTTTACCTTTACTTATATTTTTCATGACGTTTCATGATTTGCTGTTGGTTTCAAATGAAACTACAAATCTGGCACGTTTTACTGTGAACACTATTTTGTTTGTTCGTTTACCTGGGTTTTTTTTTGGTCTTGTTTTTTTCTGTTTAAATGTCTTATAGAAAAAGAATCCTTCCCCCTGTTTCTGTCCTTGGATGACTCCCTGTGCCCCTCAATATCATTCTTTAATGTAATTGTTCATTTTTAATCAAGGTGCTGACCAACTCAAGACAAAGTAAAGCATGAGGTCTAAAGCTCTCAAAAGTGCCCTTGAAGAAGAAACTCTGAAAAAGTGTTCATGAGTTTAGTAAGTCCAGCAAAAGCTGAAAATTATATGCAATTTTGTCTCATCCCTTATGAATATACCACGTTGTGTTGGATTTATTTTATATTAGGTTATATTAAATTGAAATGTTCAATGATGAAATGTCCTCGTTCGTACACAGCATATGAATGGCAGCAAATCTTTGTGCCAGATGTTGGAATTTACAAGGGAAAGTCTCCCAGAGGAGTAACTGTTCACATCGGGAGGTTCAGGAGAAGTCATGGGTTGAGGTGTCATGTAGTAATAGCTATGTGTTTTGTACATGTACGTACCTAGAAGCTTTGTAACAAGGCATCTTAAATAATAATAAAAGTTTTTTATTTGAAATATTTTAAGCTGAAAACTATTTCAATCCCACTTTCTAAAATTAAAAAAACAATTGTGATACTGATCTCTTTTTTTTTCTGTTTGAAACATATTTACCTGATGGGTAACTTTCAAATGAGAATCTTGTACCAATGTTGAAACACATGAGATCTAATGATTAGGAACTAATTAATCTTTTGAATTGAGCATATTGTTGAAAGGGATTTTTGAAGGGCAATATAATTGCTCCATGATGAAATTTTCCTTGTCTGCCTTCTCGGCACCATCTTTGATTTCCATATCTTCAAGTCTTGAAGAAGTTGTAGTTAATTGAAGTATTCACTTGTCTGGTTGAAATAAAGCCTGTTTCTGTTGTGATTTTTTTAGTGTATATGTTATTTTTCATTTCTTAATCTTCATGTCCATATTATCTGCTTTTGTACCATAAAATGAATGTGTGTTGTATTTTTGCTACTCTGCATTTCATAATATGAGACATTCACTTAAGTGTGGTAAGGTCCAAAATACTGTGTCTTCAGTTGATGCTGAAGTCTATGCAGGGTGTTTTTTTTTTAATATAGCTTTATGTTTCTTATAGAATTGATTCCTTATTCCCCAAAGATCACTACTACATTTGATAATTCCAAAAGAGTTTCAAAATTTGGTCGTCACAAGTACATTTGATCAACTTCCACCTGGCTTAAAAAAAATTCAGTGGGGTGGGTATAGCTCAGTGGTTAACGTACATGCTTAGCATGCAGAAGGTCCTGGGTTCAATCCCCAGTACCTCCATTAAAGAAAGAAACAAACAAACCTAATTACCTCCCCCTCAAAATAAACAAAAGTGAATAAATAAATAATTTGTAAATGCTAAAAAAAAAAGTTCAAGCAACTAAGATGTTCTGGAAAAAGATCAGTGTAAAAATCCACAATTATCTGGGATAGTGCCTTTTTTTAGACAGTTCTCTTCAACCAAGCCTACTCTCATCTGTCAGGGAACAGCAGCCTCTTGGATCATGGTTCTGCAAAATAAATCAGGGCAAGTTAGTGTGATCACATAATTGTTTTAATTATCTGGAATCACTTGATCTCTCATTACAAATGTTTAAAACATTGGTTTAGCTGAGGAAATAAATTATTCCATTGTACAAATATCAGTGAAATGTTGGCTACTTATAGCCAGCTTTTTTTTGGTTTTTGTTTTTGTTTTACAATGAGGGACTTGTAGCCTGAGGAGTTTTTTTACAATCATTTGAATTTTTTTACAATCATTTGGCTTAACATCATGAAGAAACTTGACAAGACTAAAGAATTTTTGTCTTGAACTGCGTGAAGTCAGGGTGGCCAGGTGATCCAGAGTATGGCTTTTGGTTGTGGGACAGGTTCAGTTTGCATCCAGCTCCGCTACTGACAAGCTCTGTGGGCAAGTGGCTAACCCTCTCTCTAAACCCTAGTTTCCTCACTCATAACGTGCGGCAAAGAGTAATTTTTACCTACATTTTCAAAGAGCTTAGCACAAGCGCTGACACATGGTAAATGCCTCATGAATGCTTGCTGTACTGAAAAAACCAGATGTTTTTAAACTAATGCATTAAATTGGTGATTTCTAACCTTCTGGAATGTGGGGAACCCATCTGAACATTACTGATCACACTTTGGAATACTCTACACATGTTTTCTGGCAAAGCTATTAATGTGTTTGATTACAGGGTACTACCCCTACTAGGGGTTAAGTAGGGAACAATTCTGAATTTTGAAACACATCTGGTCCCGAGTTTCAGATACGGGGATTGTGGAAATATTTACTTGTGTTTCAACTCATGTAGTATACATGGATTCAAAGTCCCTTTGTTGGGAATCATTGTCACAGGTAATTTATACCTGACATCATTCAATCATACAAGGACTATCAAGAAGTTATTTTGTGCCAGGAAGGAGCTGAGGAGGCTAGGCGGAATAGAATACAACCCCTGCTGTCAGGCAGTGGGGGAGGGAAGTCTTAAACCAACATGTGCAATTAAGTATCACAGGTGTCATTCATTCATTCACAAATACTTACAGCAGTGAGCAAAACAAAGGACCATCCTCACAGAGCTTATATTTTAGAAGGAAAGACAGACACATTACTAATTACATAATATAATGTTAGGTCAGTACTACAAAGAGAAAAAGTGAGGTAGGAGGGCTAGAGAGGGAGGTCATTCTATTTAGAAAATGAGAAGGGGAGACACTTTTTGTGTTAGAGTGCGCAAGGACAACCTCTCTTAGGAGGTGAGGTTGGAGCAGAGTTGAATGAAGTTTGAGAACACACCGTGTATAATACCCGGGGGAAATTTTTTTCACTCCTGAAAAATGTGACGGGAGGTTTTGAGGAGCTGTAAGGAGGCTGCTGTGCTTAGAGCAAACAATGGAGAGTGGCGGGAATGCAGTTTTAGGAGTAGCCACGAGCCAGGTCCTATCCGAAGTCCACAGGTGAGGGTGGAAAGCGGCACTTGAAGGAGGAGTGGTCCCTTCTCCTGGAGGAGAGTAAGGAAAGTTTTCATAGAGTCTTGGTAGGGAGGGGGGTAGGTTTATATATATATATATTTTTTTTCTTTTAATGGGGGTACTGGGGATTGAACCCAGGGACCCCGTGCATACTAAGCATGCACTCAACTACTGTGCTACATCCTTGCCCCTAGTTTTCATCGAGTCTTAACCAACAAGTAGAGACCACCGAGCGGAGCAGGAGGGGAGGGCTTCCCAAGCAGAGAGAGCAGATTGAGAGAAGAAACAGCTTGGCCTTTTCAGGAAACTGGATTCTGTTTGCTTCAGCGGGAGTGTGGTCAGTGAGAGAAACCAGATACAGGGTGAGGAGAAAAAAAGGTCGATTATGGAAGGACTCGTATTCCATGATAAAGATGGTCTTTTTTGCAGTCGGTGTGGGGTCATCAGAGAGTTTCCAGTAAAATGAAACTAGAGTTGATCTGGCTTCAAAGTGTTTAGTGAGTAGGAAGGTTTCAACACCAGCGATCACCATAAACTCCATTACTGGTGAGAACTGTTTAGAGACAAGGCACTTTTCCTCCCGGTGATTAGAAGATGATCCTCCCAAATTTGTTGAAGAAGATTTAATGAATGCACATTTTCTTCTGGGTCTACCAGGTGCTCACTCATTCACCCTTCATCTTTTAAACTTTGACCAGATGCCTATGATCTGGGAGGCTGGGTAACATTTAGTATACGTTCACTTGTGAATAAGACAGCAAGATCCCTGCTTTCACTGAGCTTACATTCTGGTGAGGGAAATTGACTTTAAGGACATAGACCAATCAATAAACAAGAAAATAATCCGATAGTAATAACTTCTATGAGAGAAAGAAACACAGTGATGCGATAGGAAAGAAAAAGACTTCCTTGGTCAGATGGGCATGAAATACAAATATGAATTAAGTTATGGCCTCAGCTTCTGAGGAGTGACAGTCAAGTTCATCTTGCTTTCGTTCATTACCACCTCCTTAATGAAAACGAAAGATTTGGGGTGAAGCAGTTTGATAACTAATCCATTTTTTTAACTTAGAGTGTTTAGTTTACATATGTATTTAAAACCATATGTTGCATGAAATGATATATTAATTTAGTAATGCATCTTTTTTTCCTAGTCACTCATTTGCTGAAACAATATTATTTGAATTTTCATTACCAGTACCTTTGTCCTGACCAGAGTCATTTAGTAGCTTCTAGAGCACTTCAAGTTTGACACACAGCACTTTTAAATCTGTGAGTGATATTGACACTGGATTCTTTTTAACCAAATCATAGCACCTGCTCCCATAATGGACTCAATTGCTTGTTTCATTCTCCAAAAGCTGTATATTGATAATGCCACTATTTGTGGAGAGCCTTTTTTTTTTAAAAGGCTAGCTTACAAGTATTCATCACATGTAATACAAATATAAAAGCAAATTTTTACTAAAATTCTTTGCCTCTTTATATAACTCACTCACATTCCAAACTAGAATTAATTGAAGTAATTTCAGTTACTGTCACCAAACAATTCTCAACCAGTCCCCAGTGAGAATTCATTTTTTTTAATTTTTTTTTTTATTTCAACAAGCTTTACATGCACGTAACCTAAGAAGTCAGATAGTTTTGTTGCCGATGGACGCAACCGGTGTTCCAGGTTCTT